TATAGAGTTTCACGCTCCATATCTCATAATAGAGTATCCCTGGATATTCATGTAGTTTTCCTCTGACAGTTGAAGGTCCTTGTAGTTTGCTTCTAGATTCAAGCCTTAGCTCAAACTGTTTTCATCTATCCTGCCTTGCCAGGATAGTCTGTGCCAGATTGACAGGATTTATTCCTGATTCCACTATTTATTAGAATGTGACCTTGGGCAAGTTTCTTCACATCCCTCTGTCTTAGCTGCTTTGTTGGGAAAGTTGCATAACACAGTATCCATTCCAGAGGGAGGATTAAATGGATTGACCTGAATGCTGGCACATAACAGGAGATGTTAAAGTTGGGTTATTATGTGAATCATTAGCATAGCCTTAGGGCACCAATTCCAGTTAGTTGACAGTGAATTTCTATACCATGAAGCTCTGACTGAAATCCTCAAGAAAATGAGGAAGAAAATTCCCGGTATGTATTTCTCCAATACGCCAAAACCATTCTGCCACTTCATCCCTGCCATCTTCCAAAGGCATGGTATCTGGGATTCTGATTTCTGACTTCTGAAAATAATAAGAGGCACTAGGATTTGACTACATCTAATAAACCAATTTACTTCATACTGAATGGCCCAGCTAAAAAAGATGAGCATTAAACAGAATCCCAACAAAAACTGAATAGAAAAATGCTAAAATAACTGGGGATGAAAAGCAATTCAAATTGGACCTTACCTTCATCCTAGTTACAATGCCTGTACTAATTTAAATATTTTTAGGGGTATTTTTCTTCCCGAACCAACATAGGACTAGTTTTCCTCTTATCTTTGTGTGCACCCTATATGTCTCCATTGTCCTGTCTACACTCGAATTGATTAGCGAACCAGTCAATGTCCAGTAAAGTAGCTAAAGGACCACCAAATAATCAGCACTGTGATTATCTAAACACAGTAGGGGGAAACCTCTTTCAGTTTAAATCACTTAACGTTGGAATGATGAATAATGACTACTACCTGAGAGAAATTAGCCCAATCAAATTTACTATGGAGAAATTCAACATTTTTAAAGAACTCCCACAAAGTATTCTACAAGAGATTCTCTTATAAACTAGAGTATGCTATGAAAATAAGCAACCGCAGGAGTTAATTTTGTGGCTAACATCTAGCTGTCTTTGAGTATCCGAAAACAAGGCTTATTTTTTAACTGATAGAGGAAGGAAAACATTCAAACCCCATTAAAAGTGACATTTTATGGAGTTATAAATTGTTCTCTTATACATTCTGTCTAGCCAAATTGTCATATGTTTATTCTCTTTAGCCTTCTGACTGGCACACAACCCTGAGGGTGCTGCCTTACATCCTTTTACTGCTACTGTCTTAACCTCACCAGGTACTGATCCCTGCTGGAATACACGAACTTGGAAAATGCTTTTATGAAATGTATTTGTAATATCTCATTATGTTTTCATAGAGGATAAAAAGTCAAATATCAGGTTTCAAAGTTACAGCAGAATTTAGTCAAAATGTTCATTCTTATAAAACCGAGATGCTTGAATTTTTTGTTTTCTTGGTTGGAAGAGCATGAATTTCATTTATCCTCAGCTTATTAAATTAAAAATTCTAACTAAATTTTGAAGCCTATCACTTAGCTATCTGAAACAATATGCTTCTTGAGCTGGTCGGCAGGAATCCCCTGACTTTCACTGCCTGGGTTTTCCGTATCAGGCGACAGGACAGCCTGGATTTGCGTTTCTAGGATAGAGTGACTCAGGAACACTGCCACCTTTCCACCTGCTTTCCTGTGGTAGTGTGAGCTTTTAGAAATGCACTTTAGAGGAACCTGGTTACTGTTTCCATGAAAAGGCAAAATGGCGTTTATCCTCTGACGATCAATACTGCCTTGTTTGAACTTATTGAGTCATTTAAAAACATGTAAGGTAATGAAAACTGTTGTGCAATAGTACCCAAAGTACTACCCAGCTTTCCAAAGGACAACAACATTTTAGTAGGCAATAATTGAAACAGATTCTTAAAACCAACTGTGTGAGGAAATGAACATACACTGTGCCAGAGTGTGCCGAGGGTTTGAGTGAAATGAGTATTTAGCTTTCAACTGAGTATTCTTAAACAGTGGTCTCTGAAAAATATGTGTGTGTCTTAATATTAAAAACAGATTTTCTCATAGAGTAAGATTACTAGTTATGAGTAATCAAAATTTCATTGTTTATATATATGTAAACATGTAAACTGTACACATATATGTATATATATACAGTTTCTGATATGAACTGTTTTAGTAACATTTTGACTAAAAGACACTAATGAGTAAGTTCAGACAGTTGCAGGAAATTTTTTCTGGAGATTGTTACAAATAAGGCAATGGAAAGGAAGAAAGGTATGCTGAATTCCTAAGCACCAGGACTATACTTTGTCCTGCTTTGTCTTCCCATTCAGTCCTCACACAACTCTATTTCTAGATTCTTATGCCTTTAAATATTTGAGAAATCTGAGATTCAGGGAAGTCAAAGAATGCACATGAAGCCACAAACCCAGGAAGTCTTGGAAACACACTCAGTCTGGCTCTATCTGGAGAAATGCCCCGTGTCCTTTCTGTGATTAATCTCCAAAGTCTCTTCAACAAGCATAATCTTGTTTGGTGCAATCTGACTAGGCTGTATGCCTGCTGAGATGTGTTTGATGGTGATGATTTCCATGATGATCCTTTCCGTGAATTCAGGTTGTTATTAAACCTGGATGTGGGCCATAAAAACCATTTGTCTGTACATAATCTGGGTGCAAGGCATCCGCTTCTGAGAAATATTAACAGTCATTCCTGAAAGAAGATATTCCTTATAAATCAAACTTAGCAAATAAAATATGCTCTCTTCTCTGTTGTCAAAAATGAATGGACATATTAGTGGGCCTGATGAATCCCCAGCACTTGCAACTACAAGATAGTATCATGGTTACTCAGACTTTGTGGCGGGGAGCCTGGCTCTAGCACCTGCTATGGGACCTGGAGCTGAGACAGAATTTATCTGTGCCTCCTTCTTCTCATAATAGTAGCTGCTTCACACAGTTGTTATAGGAAAAATGTCAATGTGTGGAAAGTGCTTAGAGATGTATTTGGCCATATGCTGCTGAGTAAATCTATGAATGTCATTATTTAAAACTCACATGTCGTACCAAGACACTGTTTTAACTTGGTTGACAACCACTGCCTAAACATTCTTGACAATGGGGCCATTTTTTTCTTTTGATGTACAGTTTATTCACACCCACTGAATATTGTATAAGAAGTATGTGGAATGACATAAAACTAACTTAGTATAAGTGCAGATGATATTATATTTGTTTTTCTATCTCTTCAATGATTTTAGTGACTTACTGACTACATTCTTTCTACCTTTACATGTGATACATAAATTGGAACAATGCATTGTACAAATTACATAAAATGGGCAGTGTTGATGTCATCCCAACAAGAGTAGTCTTTAAGAATGACCCTACTGGGCCTGGCATGGCAGCGTAGCGGCTAAAGTCCTCTCCTTGCACGTGCTGGGATCCCATATGGGCGCCAGTTCATGTCCCTTTAACCCCACTTCCCATCCAGCTCCCTGTTTGTAGCCTGGAAAGCAGTTGAGGATGGCCCAAAGCCTGGGGATCCTGCACCCGTGTGGGAGACCCAGAAGAGGCTCCTAGCTTCAGATCAGCTCAGCTCTGGCCCCTGCGGTCACTTGGGGAGTGAGTCAGCAGATGGAAGATCTTCCTCTCTGTCTTTCCCTGTATCTGACTTTCCAATTAACAAAAAATAATAATTCTTTGAGAATGAATCTACAAGTATTTTTCCTAGTTTTCTGTATTTACAAGGGGGAAAAAAGCTTCATTTATTTGATGGGTAACTGATTCCACTTTGACAAGCCTACCTATTGCATGCTCCCCAACATTTATTTTAAATAATGACTCAGACATAAGTAAAACATTTTTGATGCTCCTAAATTATATTGAGAATAGACTAATAGATGCTTTATGAAACAGTAGTCCTGTACATTGCAGAAATAATGCTCCTCATCTTTGTTGAGATGCACAATACCTTTTGAAATCATACTGCAAAGTTCACTTTCCTTGGAACTGACATTGGTAAATAATTCAATTAGAGGTTAGGATATTTCTGGTGGAAATGCAATGTTCTTTTTAAAGATCTTGTTTGATTTGTTAGGTAAAATATACTCATATTTAGGTTGAAATGATCTTTTTGGAATGAATAAAACAAAAACGTGAGTATACATCCACTGTTGCCGAAACTGTGGAAATGAAGTAATCATTAGCTGGTCCATGGTTGAGATTTAACGCTCTCAAAGCCAGTTATTTTCATGACTGACCATGTTTTCCTTTTTTGCTAGATTCAAAAGTGAATAGCTTAAGGTGATTTTTTTTTGGTGAATAGGAGATAATAGCAAGAATTTAGAGAGAAAATAACAAGAATTGACCAAGAAATTTCCTATGGTGGTTCTGGTAGTGCAGGAAATATCTGAATGTAGGAAGTCTAATATGTGATAGGAGTTAGACCCATTCAGAAAATTCAAAAATATGCAGTAATGTTAAGTGGGTTTTTTCTTTCCTGTTAGTGACATTTGATTTTCCAGGATCCTACAGCTGGGATAGGCAGTCAGCTACAAAGTTCCCTGCTACGTGGCCACAGCATAGATTCCTTAGAGCATTAGCTGCACTCTTAAATCACAGGTACATCTATTTCTGTTTGGTTTTGGTTTTTTTTTTTAGCTTCAGAAATCATTTAAGTCAAAGAACAACATATAGAGACCATTTCATTTTGAGATTGTGAGGTCACTCTTAAGTACTTTCTTGTTTTCAGTTTGTTAAATCCATCCAAAAACAAACTAGACCATTCCCTCAATTAGGTTCAGTAGTAGGAGAGGGTAAAAGCTGTTTTCACGACATTCCCACCAATAGTACAAGGCAGTCTCACGAACTTGAAACAGAAAAAAGCACATGGACCATACCTGAGTAATTTCAGAGATCCCCACCCGGAAAAGGTTTCCTTGATTATGGCGAATTCAACGTGTCCCTCTGGTTATATTCTAATCATCATACCAAGCTCCAAAGGTTCAGTGGCTTTAGGTTTGGTTTACAATTCCTGGGAGTTAAACTTTAACTCACCCTGTCTCTTGCATCCATCCAGCCCTTTGACCAGATAATTGGGTCACAACAGCCCTCACACTATATAAAATTACTCTTGTTTTGTGCTTCAAAATTAAAACAGGCATCAATGTTATTTTGAAGCTATTTTACTCATGTGCAATCATATGTTAAAAACCAGAAATCACTACAATTTGGGCAATAAAGCTTTTTTTTTAAATGTTATCTTTCTTGTTTTTTGATATGCCAAAGTAATAATCAGTATAACATAACCAAGGAGGATTTTTTTTGTTTTACACTTTTTTTTTATCACTGTGTGACATGGAATTAAGTATTGAGTTTGAGGTCAAGTGTGCAGATAAGCACTGGCTGATAAATAGAAAAATACACGTAATTATATAACCAAGTAGCTAGATGTAGGCCAGCTCAGTTGTAGGGAGGGGATACATTTTTTTATGCAAACTGCTCATTCCGATTTTAAGAGGGAGCTGTGGTAGCGAAGGCCTGACACTCAGCCACACATGGCCTTTAGGAGAGCTGTGACTTTTGTTTATTACCCCAAATCTCAGCGCCTGATGATGTCTCCAAAACAGAGAAATTGTATTTTTAAACACACAAACTCTACATCCTGAATTCTCTAGTAAAAGCTGTAGTCTATAGAGGAAACCTCTAAGAATGATAAATCCCATTTTAAACACAGGAAGAAACAAACTCTCCTGATTTAGAGTAAATTTTGGCTTTGGGGGTTCTAAACCACAAGGCTGCAAATCTATAATTAGTGGATGCTCTCACTGGCCTTCAGTTGTAGTGGGTCAAGTTAAATTTTCAGGGAATCAACTGTTACCAGAGCACTTTTGTTTAGACTAAAGCATGGAAAAAGAAATCTTTTCTTTTAATATAGACGGCTAGAAGGACACATTAGTACATTGGTTAAGTACATCTCTAAATACATGGAAGGGAAGATAAAGGATACTGTTGGAATGCTAGTTGTGCCTACATTTTCCAGTGTTCAAATGCCAGAGACTTCTCACTTACACATACTTTGTTTAAAGTAATGCAAGACAGGATTTAACAAAATCACTCAGGAGTGGTTGTCTTGCTCTGGCATTGTGCTAGATGGATGTGTGATGATACATTCCTTAATTTCCGCCTTGGAAGTAGATGCTCTTATTTGGTTTCTTGGTGAAAGCTGGTTTCTGTGTGTATGGCGTCCAAATGAATGGGAAATTTTTAGTTAATAATTTGCCTGGTCTAGCACAGAATTGTTGATGTTGCAAAATTGACAGTTCCAGGAGGGGTTGTTTCTTCTTCTTTTTTCTGTGATAAGGTGCTTAAATGGTGATGAATGGAGGTGAAAAAACGAAAGGTAGGATTCTGAGGAGTCTTCTAGAAACCGAAAAATGTAAAGTGTAAGACAATAAATTATATAGATATTTCAGACTTCACAATCATGTTACCTCCCAGTAAGCCCATCAAACATAAAAAAGTCAAAAATATATTTAATATGCCTGCTTCCCCAAAATTCATGCAGAACTTCTCCCCAAATATGTTTGTTTCCCCCAAATTCATGTAGAAGATTAACACCACCTCCCCTCCCCTCAAATCTTACATTGATGGTTACTAAAATAAGGAGGTTTGATTTAATTATGGCATTTGGAGGTGGGCCCTGTGGGTAGCCTTCAGGTCACTGGGAGATTTCCAGAGAGCTGATTTTTAAGCTAAGCTTGGCCTCGTTTTCCTGCTTTCTCGTTTGCCATGTGATTATCTTTCTATCATTCTCAGCTTTCACCAGATATCTCAGGCAGTGAAGCCATCTGACGCTGGACTACCAACCCTCAAAAGTGTGAACCACAGTTAACTTCCCTCCCTTTGTAAAACTTGTTATCAGCTATTTGAGTTACAGCAGTGCATTTGGCTGAGGTAATGCCTAACCCACCCAATATCATAGCCAAGCAACAGAGTGTACTGCAGAATAGTGGTTGTTTCTTGATGTGTGGCTGGCTGGCTGGGAGCTGTGCCTCACTTCTGTTGCCTACTAGCTAAGAAAGAGATCAAAATCTAAATTGTAAGTGTAGTTTTTTAACTGAAAAGTTGTATGTCTTAACCCAAAAAAGTCTTAAGTTGAAGAACCATAAAATAGAGACTCTACTGACCAGTGTCAGCTAATTCAGGATGTTTTCATGGAATAGCACAAACTGGGTAGCTTCAACAGGAAATATTGCTTTCTTACAGCTCTGGAAATTCAAACTCCAAAATCAGGATTGTCAGTAGGGTCTTCTTCGGGTTATATTCTTAGGTCCTGAACAAGAGAAAGCAATTGATTTAAGTGAAATCAAATTCCTGACCTTGATCTCATTAGTCTAATCAAGGGAGCTGACTATATCCCGAATGACCTGGCTTAATTTTCCTTTGTAAAAATAAATCCAGTCTAGACAGTGGCTAGCAAGCATTATTTTTCTAATTGTTCATTTGGCAAACAACTGTAGAAGATCTAATCTCTGCTAGGTGTTATTAAATGTGGTGATGATTTAAGGTGAAAATTAAATCTGAGTGTCAGCTGTAAAATCAGTAACATGGATGTATTCCAAATATTAAATACATAATGGAAAATACAAAATGATTTTCACCTTAAAAAGTTGTATATTATTCATAAAGATTTTGTTACATTACATGCACATCTATGTGTACTAGTTATGAGGTAAATTTATTTTTAGTATAGGGCTACAATTTTAACATTTCCAAGACACTGCAGTAGTCTTTAGGGGACTCAGTAGTTAACAAACCAGACACGGGGTACATACACTAAATTACTAAACTATTGATCAACTAGATAATAACTATACACTGTGTATTGCTTCGTGATAGAATACTCTCCTAGAAATTCATTGTTAGGAGACTTAAATCACTGAACACATGCCACAGAAAATACTTCTACAAACTGAGATGGTTACAGCATCACCAGGCAATGTAATCTTATAGGACCACTGCCATATATGCAGGTCTGTCGTTGATCTTAATGTCTTAATGTGACACATGGCTGTAACAACTCTTTTTTTTTTTAAGAAAAAAAGTTTTATTTTACTTAAGGCAGAGTTAGAGGGAGAGAGAAAAATAGGGGTGGAAGGAGGGTGAGGTAAAGACAGATCTTCCATCAGCTGATTTACTCCTGAAATGGCTGCAATGGCCAGATAGAAGCCAGGAGCCTGGAGCTTCGCTATGGCACTGATATGAAATAACAACATTGTAGGCAGAACATTTATCCACTATACCACAACACCTGCCTCCTTATAACTCTTATGAGGGCAAGTACAGGATGCTAAAGAGCAAAACACACAAAGACCTAACTTAGTATAGGACTGAATGGAACCAAAAGACAACAGTGAAAAGCCTTCTAGAGTGCAATGTTTTAAACCAAAGACTACAACAATGTGTGCACAGAGAGTGGACATTGACACTAGTGGAAATAGCATATGTGGCTACCCTGAGTTCAAATGAGTGTGACAGCTTCAAATAACTGATAACGACTGTTATGAGCAGGCAAAGCCGAAAGGCTGGAGAAAACAATTGGAACAGGCAGGAAAGAACTTTAGCTTGTAATTGACCTAGCACAAGTATTATCCTGATTTCTAGCGTTATCCTGGAGCCATGGGAAAAGACTGAAGGACTTGAAGAAAGGGAAATTCTGGGTGTTGAATGGAGAATGAATTGTATTGAATAACATAGCCTGCCCTGCTCCTTTTTTATATCTTTTGAATTATTCCATCTGTGTGAGTATTCAAATTATAGTATATGGTTTGTATTTGGGAGAAGCAAATCATTAGGAAACCAGTTAGACCAATGGAAGTAGCAGGCAAGAGAGGTTAAGGTTGGGGTGGTAGACTCCCTTCAGTGAAATGCGTGGCTGCAATGGGTGAATCATCAGGAGGATGGGGACATAAGGGAAAATGACACCTGCAGGATGGCTCCCTTTGGCTGAGGATGGTAAAATTTGATGAGGTGGGAATACTAAAAAAGGAAGAGGCTGTCAAAGGGGCCTATATGAGGTACATAGTAAATGATCGTTAAATGGTAGCAATGACCAATTATTCACATGTGAATTGCATATTTTAACTAATTCTGGTTTTAGTATTAGTCTATATTTTTGCAGGTTAAGATGAAATCCAAAGCTTGTCCCCATCCACTAGTGAGCATGTTAGTCAGCTGGGTGTTGGTATGTAGGTTGGCTCTGGAAGGAGGGGGGCCTACTGGGCAAGGCCAGGCCAAACCATAGCTCACTGGCATGCACAGGAGCCAGGATAGAGTGCAGGGCATGCTGGGTTAAGTTAGTTTATCACACCCACCAATTTGTATGAAAATCATGGATGGGGACAGGCTGGGCAGGGCTAGGCTGCAGGACCCATTAGTGACAGTCAGGTCTCGGGGAAGTCTGGGCCAGGCTGCAACATGTGATGGCAAAGATTAAACTGGGTGGTGAGTTTTGCCGGGCTGAGTCAGAGCAACCACTGTCATGTGCAATATCTGTAGCTGGGAGTGAGGTTGGTCAGGGAGATAAGAGTATGTCACTGCCATTTGGTGAGCATGAAAACTGGGATGGTTGTGGTAAAGTAGATTGGACATAGCTGAAGTATCCTTCAGCATGAGTATGGACTGGGTCTGGGGTGTGCCACGCTGGGCTAGGTTCCAGCACCTGTTGGTACTTGCAAGAGCCAGAATAGGTATAGAACAGGCTGAGTAAGATCTCTTTATCTGCTGATCCACACAAGAGCTGGGTCTGGGTGGACCAGGCAGGGCAGGGCTATAGTACCCAACAGTAAGAGATGGAATGGATGTGGGCTGGTCAAGCAAGCCCACTGTATCTGTCAGGCCCAGAAGTGAGAAAAGTCAGGCTAGGCCAAGAACACACTAGTGTGTGTGAGATCTGTGACTTGATAGAGGAGCCTGGGGAACTCATATGTCAGGACAC